CTGATACCTGAAAGCAGCTTCTTGCCTCCGATCCACCCTAGCGCGGGGAGCCTGCTTTGGGGGATGCACCAGCCACAGCCATCGGGAAAACGCAGAGAAAAGGAGCCTCTGAGAAGGGGACTCTGGAGGGACCAGGCATTTCTAGAAGACAGAGGAAGGAGAGACTGACTGTCTGTCCTCTCTCGACATGTGTTTAGCAGCCATCAGTTTGAGTGATGTTAACCAGAGCACGTTTTGGAAGCATCCGTGGTTTGGAAGTTCAGTCAGTCCCTCCCTCTCCTCTGCTGTCTCTATTAAAAACCAGCAGGGCAAGTGGTGAATGCTCGGGGGTCTTGGGCAGACGGAGACAGGGGGGGGGGGTCTTGGTGAAAGCCATCAGGAAGGGCTCCGGCACCCCTGGCGTGAGCGCAGAGGGTGCTGGGGCCAGCCCAAGCCACAGCTCGCCATGAAGAAGAGTCAGAGGGAGAATTCGGGACTGAGGCTGGGAGGAGGGTGAGAGCGGAGGGGAATTCCTCTCGTGCTTCTGGGCTAAGGTAGTGCTCTGCTCCCACTGTCTGGTTTGTGTTCAGGGCACGGCGGCAGCCCCGGGTCCCTCGGGTGCAGTAAATGAGTAGTAGTTGCTCACGGTCATCCCGGCATTATTCATGGCTGCCTGGAAATACCCACAGGTTTCGTCCACATTAACCCTTCAAGTGTGTGTGGGGGGGAGAATGGCTTTCTTCCCAGAAGAAAGGAGGTGGCCAGCCCAGGGACACCAGGGAGCAAGGGTGACCAACAGTCCGTTGCTGTCAGTCTGTCCACCTCCCCTCCCATTGCTCTAGGCAGTATCCGTCCATCTGGCTGGCTGTATTAAGAACTGGAGGTGGAAGTCAGAAGTGGTTTGCTTTTGTGGAAGAGTGCTCCATAATTTTTAAGCCTAGAGGCTAGGCTGAGCTCCCCTTTACCTCGTCCATAGTTCTTTAATTAAAACCAATAGGATTTTGGTGTTCTGCTGGAACTGCTCGATGGGGAGGCGGGATGAGAGGCGTCTCCTTCCCCGCTGCGTAGGGTGGGCAGCGCCCCGGGGGCCCACCAGCCCAGGTCTGGGTTTTTGGATGGTGAGAGAAAGGGGACTCGCTGCAAAGGCCACATATTTCCCTCGTTCCCATGGTAACCAGCCCATTAAGGAGATGTAGATTAAACCTCCCCAGCTGGTGTGTGTTCATCGGGCAGCCACGGCCCCCTCCTCCTCCTCCTCCTCCTCCTCTGGACGTGCCCGCTGGGAGCTGGAAGCTTTTCGCAGCAGCCGGAGCAGGTGGTTGTGATTTCGGCAGGAATCCGGCACTCAGGCGGTACCGCCTGGTAGCAGGGCCAGCGCAGGCGACGTCGGGAATGCGACGGGTGAAGCGAGCGGAGGTGTGGGACACCCCCCCGCCCCCCGAGGTCAGCCTGAGCCGCTTCTTCCAGCGAGCGGCATTAAGGGGTCTGCTCCAGGCTTTGAGCAGGCTGTGGAGCTTGATACCTCCAGTGTGTGTTGAGCCAGGGCTGAGCAGCTCCACTTTTTAGGAGCGGCACTCAGAAAGGAGATGCTAGCCTGTTGTGGCTCATGTTATTCCATGTTTATAGTATTAGTACTGTAGCGTAGCGTATAGAGGGGTGGTTGCCCCAGCATCCTCATCAAACCCTAGTCACAGGAACCGTATTCCCTTCCAGTCGAAGACCCGCCTAAAGCAAAGCTTGCAGCTTCAAGGAGGTATGGGCCTTCTCTGAACTCTCATCCCTGCGCAGCAGGATGGGTTGCTGCGTGGGCTTAGGCAAGGCGTTGGGTTCATGTCAGGCAGTGCCTGCCTGTGCCGATCAGCCCTGTGAGCACCCGAGAGCAGCGTCAGTGCAAGGCAGGAGGGACAGCATCAGAGGCTCTCTCTTTTGCCCCGACACAACCCTCCTTCCCCTCCCATGCCCCTGCTGTGCCTCAGGATTATTTTGTTAGCTGTATGCGTGGGTAGAGGTAGACATCTTCGCAGTCGGCGGTGAGGTGGGACTGTTCACGACACAGTCGCTATTCATGCGTGGTGGGACATGGAGGTGAGCTGTCCCCCCAGCCCTTCCCACCCCCCGGTGGGGTGGTTTGTGTGCATCCGCACCCCGGGATGTGGCCGTGTACCATGCCCTACGGACCCCCTCGTTGCCTCTGCTTAGAATCATAGAATCATTAAGGTTGGAAGAGACCTCTAAGGTCATCGAGTCCAACTGTCAACCCAACACCCCCATGCCCACTAAACCATGTCCCTCAGCGCCTCATCTACCCGTCTTTTAAATACTTCCAGGGATGGTGACTCCACCACTTCCCTGGGCAGCCTGGTCCAATGTTGAACCACTGCTTCTGGGTTTGTGGCTCATCCTTCCCCCCGCAAACCTCTCGCGAACCTCTCGTGGTGTGCACGGGGCTCTGGTCTAACGCCTGCTGCCTTTTCCACAGCCCGATGCTCACGTACCGCGTAGATGCTGACAAGGGGTTCAACTTCTCAGTGGGTGACGACGCCTTCGTGTGCCAAAAGAAGAATCACTTCCAGGTCACGGTCTACATCGGCATGCTTGGAGACCCCAAGTATGTGAAGACCCCCGAGGGCCTGAAACCCTTAGAGTGCTTCTACCTGAAGCTGCACGGAGTGAAGGCAAGCGGGAGCTAAGGGCCCGTAGTGAATCCGGCAGGGAGAAGGGGTGCTTGGCAGATGGCTGGGATCGGGCAACAGCACGTCTTCGCGTGCTCAGTTGTAGGGGAGCGCGTAGGAAAGTGCTGAAGGCCAGAACAAGGCAGATCTTGAAACGCGAGTCCTAAGATGGACTCAATAGGAGGGCTGAGCAGAGAGATGGCCTGTGCAGAGTCTGGGGAGAAGGGGGTGGGAAGGGGAAGGTCTCAGCTTTCCGCTCTTTGTCACGTTCCCCCATCTTTCTCTCCAGCTAGAGGCCTTGAACCAGTCGATCAATATAGAGCAGTCACAGTCTGACCGCAGCAAGCGGCCCTTCAACCCTGTCACGTGAGTATTGCCCAGGATATGTTCGTGTGGGGGAATTGCTACCAGGGAATAAGCCATAGCGGGAGAGGGTGGGGAAAGGGGCTGAGTCGGAGGCCTCGGGATGGTACCCTGGGTATCACACTTTCCAGTTTTCTCCTCTGTTTCCCACAGCAAAGTTTTCCTCTCTTTGCATTCCCCACTCTGTGCCCAGTTCATAGACCTGCCTTGGTGGAGCAGGCCAGGAGACGGCCATCCCCCAGAGAACCTCCTCTCCAGTGGTGTCCTCACTCGCTCCTCTGTTTTCCTTTCCTCAGGGTCAACCTGCCTCCAGAGCAGGTCACCAAGGTCACCGTGGGGCGGCTGCACTTCAGCGAGACCACAGCCAACAACATGCGGAAGAAAGGCAAACCCAACCCAGACCAGAGGTGAGGAGCACAGATGCCTTCTCCAAGCCGTTCTAAGCACTCAAGGCCTGTGGATGTGCCAGTCCCCGGGTTGGGGAGTGTGGCTGGAGGGAGGGGGACATGAGGGACAGGTCCTGAATTGCCCGTCCTTGTCTGTGTGGAGGAAAGGAGGTGTCTGCTGTGGCCACAAGAAGTGTCTCCCCCACTCTGTGAGGGGTTGGGGACAGTGCCTGTGCTCCACAGCACAAGGAGAGGGGACGTGCCAAGCCCACCACGACAGCTTGGTGCCTCGGCCTCCAGAGGGGAAGCAGACTCAGCAGTTCCCAGTGCGGGATGGCACCCTGACCTCTCTCCCCTCTTGGCAGGTATTTCATGCTCGTGGTAGCCTTGCAGGCACACGCGCAGAACCAGAACTACACGCTGGCAGCCCACATCTCTGAGCGCATCATCGTCAGAGTAAGTCCCTCTCTCCTCCCTGAGCCTCGATGGGTGCCCCACAGCCCTTTGCTGGATGTCCCGGGCAATCCTCCTACCTTCCTCTGGCTTTTCAGTGCTTTCTCCACCCAGCCTTTGCCTACCTTCTCCGAACCGTCACTGCCTTGCTTGTAGCTATACCTATCCGTACCTGGGTTCTGGCTCCAGCCTTTCCACAGCTGCTTAGTCAGAGCAGCCTCAAAGCATGCAAGAACCTGTTGCAAGACAGGGAAGGCATCCCATTCTCCCAAGGTTGGACCAGTGTCTGGGGCAGAGCTGTTGGGAGTGGGGGAACAGTGTCGTTGGGACTCTCCACCAGGGACAAGGCCTACAGGTGCAGGGAGACTGGGTACCTTCCCAGGGCGGCACCTTTTGCACATGCTAAGGTGGCAGCGCTCAAATGGGAGTGCAGAGGAGCAGGAAGAGATAGGCACCATCCCCAGACTCTCCCGGGGCCCTGCTAGAGCACTCAGCTGTGGGACATGGAGGCAGGGTGTAGAACACAAAGAGAGGGACCTCAGAGTCTGCAGACAAGTAAGTCCACAACGAATTACGCGGCCTCCAGTGTGCCCAGCGCAGAACTGCAGGGAGTTGCAGGCAGCCTGGACTGCCCCATCTCAACCTGCGAGTGGGACACAGAACCACGGCAGCAGGGCAGAACCCCAGGATTTCGGACCCGGGAGCAACAGCCACGTCACTTGGTCTCCTGCTGTCCTGCGTGATTCTGGTTGGGGTTGTTGGAACAGCTCTGAGAGCTGTGATAACAGGCAGCTCAGGAAAGTGAGGATATTCCTTTAGGGAGAGGAGCAGAACAGGCATAGCCTTGGTGCCTGCAGAGAGAGGCTTAGACAGGGCCAGCAGATGAATGCCAAAGCTGCCTCTGCCGTAAGGGCAGGCTGGGACCTGTTCCCAGGGCTGGCAGTGGATCCCTGCCCCTGCCACTTTGCCTTGTGCTGCTACAAAGCTCTGTCTCGCACCTCCGTGGCCTTGCTTGTCCCCTGCTGGCTCTGCCCTGCCTGTCTATCCAACTCCCTGCTGTCCCTCCTGTGAGGCTGGGGCTGCCACAGCTCAGCCTCGAGGTCTTCCTAGGGCTGTAATTCAACGTGCTGTGGGCTGGAGAGGGCACCCGTGCCAGGATCTCGTGACCTGGACTGATCATCCCAAAAGCCCCTTCCCACTTCTCAGGGTACCTGGATGAATATGCTCCAGTTTCGGCTGAGATCTTCCCTGTCCCCGTTTCCCTTCTGTGGAGTAAGGACACTGCTGTGCCATCAGGGTCCTTCTGCTTACGCCAAGCTTTGTTTCGCAGCTGTTTCCCACCCACGCTGCTGCAGTAGGGTGCCTGGCGCTGTCCAGGCCACCAGAGCAGCCTGGGGCTCTCTGATGTCCATCTGTTGCCCATGGCCTCTCCTGCTATACAGTCCTTCTGCAGCGTGCGTAGAGGGATGGGTCTGTGGGGCTCTCCCGGCATCCTCGCTCTGTCCACATCTCAGAGTGCCTCTGCCCAGGCAGCATTTCTCTCTCCCTGGTTTTGCTACTGCTGTTTTTCAGTCCCCACTTCCCTGTCTCTCCACAGGCCTCTAACCCCGGCCAGTTTGAGAGTGACAGCGATGTGCTCTGGCAGCGGGCACAGCTCCCTGATACCGTTTTTCACCACGGCCGGGTTGGCATCAACACAGACCGCCCCGATGAAGCCCTCGTGGTCCACGGCAACGTGAAGGTCATGGGCTCGCTGATGCACCCTTCAGACGTCCGAGTGAAGGAGGACATCCAGGAGGTAAGAGCCAGGCAAACCAGGCTAGGTTTGCGGTGGACAGGGGTCTGAGGAGGCACCACAGAAAGTGTGAGTGTCCTTGTGAGCCTGTTTCAGCTGCTGACTTTGACATAGTCCTTATGGGCAGCCTGAGCTCCTGACCAGATGGGAAGTGCCTTAAGAAGTCTGTCTGTCCCTGGCTGTCCCGAGCACAGCCTGTCCAGCGTTTCTTAGGGAACGTTGACTCTTCCACTGTTAGCCAGAACTAGCAAATGCAGAAGTTACAAACCTGGAAACATCAGATAGCACACTGGGGCTTGCCAGAGCATGGGTGAGAGGCTCAGCTCTGCTCTGAAGTTGTCTCAGCTGGATGTGCCTGCCCAGGAAAGCTGGGTACCATCACGTCTCGTATTTATGAGAACTGCCTCTGCCCTGCGCCTGGTTGTGCAACGGGACTCGGTCTCCTCCTGGCTTCGCTACCCAAGGAACTTGTCCAGTGACGAGAACTGGAGATTAACCCCAGTGCAAATGCTGTTTGTCCTAATAGCTGGTCTGAGCAGGGTCCAGGGCTGTCTCGTGAAGGGCTGTCTCACAAAGGCATTACCATGAGGCATAGTGGGTTTTGCTGCTTGGAGTCAGTCATGGGAACTTTAGAAGCGACACCCCGCTTAGGAGTTGCATGCGTCTGTTTTGTCCCAGGTGGACACCACAGAGCAGCTGAAGAGGATCTCCCGTATGCGGCTAGTACACTACAACTACAAGCCCGAGTTTGCAGCCACGGTGGGCATTGACAACACCTCTGAGACGGGTACGGGCCCCGCGTCACACCACGGTGACCTGCTGGCGTCTGCAGCACTGGACCTTGCGTTCCGCAACCTACAGCGGCATTTTGTCCATGGTGCCAAGCGGCACTGCCCTGCCTTCCCTGGCGGCTGTACCCAGCTCCGCCCTGGGGCAGCCCCCCAGGCGTGGGGTGGGAGAGAGGGGGCTTCTCACCACCTGAAGTTTAGGCATCTAATGAAATTCCCTCTTGGGTGAGCGGGAGAGAAGATGGCGCTTCCCACAGGTGGCTTATAGGGCTTCTGTGATAAGGCTTCCCCAAGTACCCCCCTCCCTTCAGGGGTACAGCTACACACTGCGGCGGGGTGATGCAAATACCCCTGTCCACGTAATCTGGGAACCAGCCTTGTCTGAACAGCCTCTGCTCTTCTCTGGCTGAGCCTGTGTGGGCTGCCCAGGCCACGGGGCCTCCAACGAGCTCTGCCTGGCCCTGTACAGGCTGGGATGAGGGGAGGACAGCCCTCGTGTCATCCCCAGCGAGCAGGGTTCCTTTCCGCATGGGCCAGAGAAAGAGCTGTGGCAGGAGGAGCCCTGTCCAGACCCCCTTGACCCACTGTGCTGTTTCCACGCAGGCGTCATTGCTCAGGAGGTAAAGGAGATCCTCCCTGAAGCTGTGAAGGACACCGGGGACCTGGTCTTTTCCAATGGGAAGACCCTTGAGAACTTCCTGGTGGTGAACAAGGTTGGTGGCAGCCGGGAGGGGCAGGGAGGCTGTTGAACCTGGCTCAAGGGAGTTGTGGAGCTGGAAATGGAAGAGGGAAAACTGCGATGTCTGGGAAATGCTTCTAGGCCAGCACCGCCCATATGAGTTTCAGACCTGGCTGGTCTTTCAGATGTCAGGAGCAGCCCTGGGTGGACGGCAGACATCAGCAGGGAGGCACTAGCCTGTGATGCTGGTGAAAGTTGGCAGCATCTCCCTCAGGAAGGGCTCCTTGTTGGCAGCCTCCTGTAGGGAGGCTCTTAGTCATAATCTCTCCTTTCTAGATAAGATAAGGTGGTTATGTCAAGATAACTCAGAGCACCTGGCTGCCTGACCTCTCCATAACCTGTGGCAGCCTGTTTGCTGCTCTGGGCATCGAGGGGGCAGCCTCCCATAGCACACATCGAGGGGACAGCCTCCCAAAGCTGCCAGCTCTCTCCTGCGTCACTCTGTCCAGAGTAGGAATGGCCAGGACTGACCTCAGTGCCTTGTTTCTCCTTTGTGGAAGCCTAGATCCCTGTAGTTACATCACCAGCTAGCAGGAGCTGTGAGCGTGACCTTTTCTGTCCCATCTGCACGTGGCCAGGCCGCTGCTGCCCTTTGTTTCTGTGTACAGCCCTCCTCCGCGGGCCGCAGCTCAGCGTCAGCCCTCCGACAGGAGCTGGTGCACGCTGCAGAACAGCCTGTCACAGCAAACTGTGTGGTCTGCTCTAGCTGAGCTCTCCAAAGAGGCATCTACCTGCTGCTGCAAATTATCCGTGGTGTCCCAGATCCTCTGAGCGGGGTGCTGGACCAGCACACCAGTGAGATGTTTTGCCTCAGGGAGCTCTGTACGGGGAAGTGGAGTGGCAGAGCCCGAGGGTGGATAAGGGGCAGGGGTGGTAGCACGGTGCCGGCAGGAGTAGCTGGGATGTGGCTGCAGCTGTGCTGGAGGGAGATGCTTGCGGTGGAACGCCCTGCCTTTACCAGAGGGGCTGCAGGAGGAAGGTTGCTCTCCGGAGGCTTCTGGATTTGGGCTCTCCATTGGTCCGGATCAAGTGGCTGTTGGATAGTGCTGCAGAATAACTCCAGCAGCTTGCACTGTAGAGCAAGAGACGGAGGGCTGGGGAGGGGCGGAGAAGGGGTAGATGGGGAGCATTGCTCATGTGATTTGACCAAGGGCTCCTGATGAAGATGGGACAGGCTTTGTGTCTGTCCTTTGTGACTGAGGAGGCCTCTCTGGATTAGCGCCAGCAGGAGACCTCAGGGATCCTGCACCAACATTTACTGTTTCGGTTGGGTTTGAAGAGGATACCTCTTGTTCTTGCATCCAGGGGCTGTAGAGATCTAGATGTGCCGTGCTGGATGATTCCCTGCCCCCAGAGCTGGGTGTTGTGTGGTCTTTCCTCTGGGGCAGGGCATGGGAGAGCAGTCAGGGCGGCCAGATCCACGGGAGCAGGAGTGCCTCCACGTGCCAGGCCACTCAGACTGCTGACCTGTTCCCTGGCAGGAGCGCATCTTCATGGAGAACGTGGGAGCCGTGAAGGAGCTGTGCAAACTGACAGACAACCTGGAGACCCGCATCGATGAGCTGGAGAGGTGGAGTCACAAGCTGGCCAAGCTCAAGCGGCTGGACAGTATGAAGTCAACCGTGAGCTCTGGGGCGTTCAGGTACGGGCGTGCTGAGGGCACGGGAGCCAGAAGGGATGTCTCATTTTGAGCCCAGGCAGCCCTGAGTGACAGCTCGGTTTAGGAAAGGGGAGATGGGAAGGACTGGTGGGGTGTTGGCAAGTTGTCATTTGGCCTGGGGTACATTCAAGGACCTGAGATTGGTGAGACAGGTCTGGCATACACGTGCCAATCTCCTGCTTTCAGACCAGCCCAAAAAACCCCAGTATGAAATTGTCTCCGTGTTTCCCTAGAGTACACGAGTGGCTTTCTCAGGGCAAAGAGTTTCTCATGCTTCCAAAATCGTCCTACTGGCCCTGGCCAGCTTATGCAGGTTTGGGGGCAGAATTCAGGCTCTCTGGGCAACGGGCCAGCACTGCACCTACCCCCCGAGCAGATGAAGTGACAAGGGTTTGTGACTGTCCTGCCACACAGAGATTCCTCCCCTACCAGAGAATCACATTTTTTCCTGGGAATGGCTTCGAGTGCTGTCCCTGCACAGCTCAGCTCCGTTCCTCTTTTCTCCTTGCAGCCAAACTGGAAGCCAGTTCAGCCGTGCGGGAAGCGTGCCCCACAAAAAGAGACCCCACAAAGTAGCCAGCAAGGTAAGGGCCCGCTCCCAAAGGAGCAACGCTGTGCAGGGGAAGGTGGCCTGTCTAAGAAGGGTTGTCTGCATGCTCCTTGTGTGTTTTCTTACACGTGCTGCAGAGGGAGAGACCCTGTCTGCTCCCATCTCCATGATCTCGCCTTCCTTTTTGTCCGTGCCTAATGAAGACGTTCTACGGCTTCTGTGCTGAGGGGGTTCGGGGCTTGCAGGGGAGCTTGGGATGGGCTGGGTGGGATCCGAGCGAGGACCGGAGCAGTGAGGAGTCCTGAGCTGATCTTGGGGGTTTTTCTCTTGCAGTCACCGTCGGTTGTCCCCGAACAGGCCTGCATCAGCCAGCGCTTCCTGCAGGGCACCATCATTGCCCTGGTCATCATCATGGCGTTCAGGTGAGACCGCGCACCCGGGCTGCCGCTTCTCCGCTGTCTCTCGCCAGCTCATCGGTTTGGCCCGTGCCATCCGTGGGGCGTGTAGCGAGGGGCTGCGGACCTGCGGCTTCTTTCATGGGCTGAAATCCCTTGGAAGCAGGTCGGTACCGTGACGTGCCCCATGCCCGTCCTCAGCCTGTACCTCTCTCTTTCTTTCCAGCGTGGTGTCCATGTCCACGCTCTACGTGCTGAGCTTGCGCAGTGAAGAGGACCTTGTGGATATCGATGGGTAGGTACTTCTGGGCTCTCTGGGAGGGATGTGGTGACCGGGGGAGTCTGAAGCACAAAAAGCAGTCGCTACGGGGTTATTGACCACGGTTCCAGTGAGTCAAGCTGTAAAGCCAACCAAACACGTCCGCACATCCAAGCCTGGTGTCAGTTAAATTATCATGAGCAAGAAGTGAGGAACAGAGAAGGAGAAGAAAAAGACAATACCCTGTTGTTTGGCTGCTCACATAGCCACTCGTGGCCAGTCTGAACGTTCTTTGGATGTCTCTTCAGCTGGACTAAAACAGCGTCGTCCCACTGATTGTGGACCAGTCTGTATTAGGCAAGAGTTTTCTTCTGCAAACAGCGTCCTTAGTGTGGAGAGAGCACTGAGGGAACGGCCCCAGCCTGGCAAGCGTGCTCATGGGCAGCCTGCGCTGGGCGTTCAGTTTTGGCACACTTCACTCCTTTGGGAGCTCGCGTTACCAGATAATGAGTCTCTTTTTCTCTCTCTCTTCTCCCTATCCTATTTCTCTCCCTCCTGTTCTGGCTAAATCTCTCACCCTACCCATTTTCTTTCCACTTTGTCTTTAATTTTCCCATTCTTGTCTTTTCATTTCCATTATCTTCCATATCCTCTCTCATTGCCCCCCTCCTCCTCCTCTTGTACCAACCTGCCTTTCCTTCCCGTCTCCCTTCACTGTCCTGTAGCTCTTTCGCTGTGCCCACTGCCTGTCTCCTGGCCCTCTTTCGGCACAGGGGTCCTGGGGTCCCGGTCGCTCTATGTCCACGGTATGTTACTGTTTCATTATACTGTTATTTAATTGCTGCATCCCTTCTCTCAGTTCCTCTTCTTTCTTCCATCTGCACGACAGAAGACCAAGAATCTTAAGCAAAATTGAAAGCAAAGAAAGGGAAATGAATATACTTCAGCAAGTGGGACTCCGGGAGGAAGGAATATGGACCCTGTCAGGAAGGGGAAATTAGGATTAGGAGATTGAAGAACCAATTAATCAAAGGCTAAATAAAGAAATGACATCCCTCAGGTAGGGCAGGAGCAGACAGTTGAAAAGAGTGGAGGGAGTACGTAAAAAGGATGACGGCTTTGAGGAATTAGCCAAAAAGCTGTTCCTACCCTCTCTTCATATGTGAGTAGCTTTATTGTGGAGGGTCACTCTCAAGTACAGGACCGCTTACTGTGCAAAAGGAGGACATAAAAAACCCCCGAAGCTGTTTCTTTTTATGAGCCGTCACCGCTGGGAATGTTTGGAAAGGTACTGACGCAGGGAAAGCTGGCTGAGTTACTCATTAGGTACAGACCTGTAAAGCACCTCAGTTAATGGGATCTGCAGGGCTGCTGCAAAATAACTTCCCTTAAAAGTAAAACAGGCCCTACCTGTCTGTCAGCACCCTTTGAACAAAACACTGCATAAAGAGCGGTGCAAGGCACAATTAATTTGTTCTTTTAAGAACTCCACATCAGAGCGTTTCTCAGGAAGCTATTAAAAAAGTAATTGCTTGTGGGATGCAAGATAAAGCCGTGCATGGAAAGTGTTGACGAGGCAGTGGAGGAACATGAGGGATGGGGGTAGGTTTTTGGCTGGGATGAAGGTTAGCTCCAGAGGCTGGTGCTCACGTTCCCTCCAGGAGACTGGCGTTGCGTCTCCTTTCACCAGAAACAGAAAGACGTGTAATAAGACAAGTCTCGCAGGTGACAAAGCGGTATTTTGATTTCTCTAAATGAGTGAAAGCTCCGTTTATCTTTGAGAAGCCTTGAGCAATGCTAAGGGGACAGGCAAGACGTGGGGTACAGGACAGGCAAAACGTGGGACAGATAAAAGGGAACTGCTCCTGTGCCTGGGCAGGGTCTGGACAGGTAAGACCTTGAACATCTTTGTTAGGAGCCCAGTAAAAATTTCTGCTCAGTGGGCAGCTACAGCGCGTGAAGGCAAGAGCCTTGGTGTATCCCATATCTCTGTAGGCGGTAGCTGGCGCCCAGAAGTGGTGTTGCTCTGGGCTCCTTGTGCAGACGTGGGAGAAAAAACAGCCCGAGGCAGCGGTTCCTCCCCTTTCACATCTGCCTTACCCTCGGGAGATGCCTGCGGTGTCCTCAGCTCAGGTCTTGGTAGCTTCAGTGAAACACCTGAAATTACGTGGGATGAATCTGGGCGGGATTGTGTGTATTTCTGAAAAACAAGATGAGGAACAGTCTGGCTCCGAGAGATAAGGGGCACCTCCCTTAGGCAATGGTGAGTGCTTGGAGTCCGTTACGGCCTAACGTGTTGAGACCCGAGCACATAAATCCACCCCGGCGATCACTGCTGGAAATCAAGTCCACTGAGTACACCCTGTTCCACAGTGAGCGTTGAGGGAGCATAGCTGGTGTCCTCTGAAGCACCTGGGACTTGTCCCTGCCAGACGTGGGACTGCTACACGATCGGCTGTGGCATTTCCTAGCTCTCCTTGCTGTCTTCATGGCTTCCGTGCCTCCCTCCTGCCTTTCCTTTCCCAGATCACTCCAGTCCGTGCTCCTCCTCACCCTTGCGCTCTCTACGTCTGCTCTTGCTCCATGTCCCTGGTCCCATCGCCCCACTCACTGCTACAGCCGCTTCTCTCTTCACGTACAAGTGACACCGTTGTCCCCCATGGTAGAGGTTTTCACCGTATTTTCCTGCATTTTAGGTCAAGCCAAAACTTTGATAAAACACAGATGGTGCGATCCACAGCTGCGTCGGACGGAGCCAGTGGCAGGACCCCCACGCACCATGGTAGGTCGCGGCGGGGCAGAGGGCCTGGCAGACGCACACGATGGTGGGGGGGGGGGGGGGGGGGAGGACGGGGGCGGCGCCGCTCCTCCGCGCCAGGGGCTTGCTGGCACCGTGCTGCCTTCGTGCTGGGAGGTCCTGGGGCTCTGGTTTTGTGGGAGGGATGCCAGGGGCGCTTGGTGCTGCTCCTGTTAGATGCCTCTCCCCTTGACCTGCTCCACGTGTCCCTGCTGTTTGCCCTGCAGTCACAGAGGACGCGCGTGACTTAGTCGCCGGCTCACCTGGTCACAGCGTGCTAGCCTGCTTCAGCCCACCGTGTTTCTCCATGTGCTGCTCTGCTGCTCCCACCAATGTCTCCTCTGTTGCCCTCTCTGAGACCAGCCCCACTCATGCCACTAACCGGACAGGTAAGTACCAGCCCCGGCACCCAGGAGGTGCTGGAACAAGGCCGAGGCGTGCCTGTCCCGCCATTGCATCACCTCGTACCCCCCGCCCCCTCTCACCTCCTGTCCTACCACTGCCCGTTATGAAAAGGACGGGCAGCCTGCCCTTCAAAATGTGCCCGCTTTCCTCCACACCCGCTGCCTGGGTTGAGACCCGCTCCAGGGGGCAGCTGCGGGGCAAGGCGGGACTGCCAGGCTGAACAGCTTTCGCTGCCCGTGTGGCACGGCGTGGTTCAGACATCCGTGATCATAGAATCATTAAGGTTGGAAAAGACCTCTAAGGTCATCGAGTCCAACCGTCGACCCAACACCCCCGTGCCCACTAAACCATGTCCCTCAGCGCCTCATCTACCCGTCTTTTAGATACCTCCAGGGACGGTGACTCAACCACTTCCCTGGGCAGCCTGTTCCAATGTTTAACCACTCTTTCAGTAAAGAAATTTTTCCTCATGTCCAATCTAAACCTCCCCTGGCGCAACTTGAGGCCATTTCATGCTGCCAGGGGTAAGTGGGAGCTGGAAGGTCTTTGGAGCTGCCTGCTTTGCCAGCACAAGGTCATGAGAGGCTATGCCAGGCTGGCCAGCATGCCCGAGCAGCCGTACCTTGCAGTCTGAACTCATTGTTCTTCTTGCTTCGAGCAGGGTTTTGACAGGCCAGGAGGTGTGCTGCCTCTTTGCTGCCCGAGCGGGCTTTTTGCAAGCTCGCTTACCCCATCACCGGTCACTGTTGCAGGAGGAGCAGCACCTCAGGCAGTCACTGCAGAGCCGTAACACCCCTGGAGTCATGCCTTCACCCTGCCTTAAACACCGTGCCCTTCCCGAGCACAGGGCAGTGCCCCCGCTTTGTCCCCACAGACTGCTCCGGCTTCCCTTTGCTGCGAGGATCCCACCGGCCCCTTCAGGCACAGAGGCTGGGAAGGCTCAGCCGCTCGCAGTGGGGTGATACGGGAGGTGACACGGGGACGGGACGAACCCAGAGCTGGTGGCTGTTCTCTCTGCACTGGTCCCGGAGGTCGGGAGTGCTGCCAGCCTCTCTCTGCCTCTCGGCACAACCGTTCTCTCCCTTCTCTTTGCAGACCAAAGTCAGACCTCGCTCCTGCCAGTGACAAATATCAAAGCCAAATCCAGGGGCATCACCGGGAAAGCGACCTCCTACACCAAGTGGCCAAAGACACCTGACAGGTCTCAGAGCTTCGGCAGCCCCAATGCCAGCCCCTCCTCCCCCTTCACCCACATCCAGGGCAAATCCAAGTACATCTCCAACCTCTCGCTCTCCCGCAGCAACTCCCCGCTGGGGCAGGCCCGGCAGCGGCGCAGCATCAAGCAGCCGGTGAGCGAGTGGCCCCGCACGGAGGATCCCGGCACGGATGGTAGGTGGACCCTATCTTCTTCCCTCCCGGCAGCGGCACCGTGGTCCTGGGTTCTCTCCTGGGGTATCCTCAACCAACTGGGTCTCATCTGTCCTGCACAGCTCTCACCGCGTCCCCATCCTGCGGCTTGTTTGCCCCCAGCTCTCCCAGAGCAGCCAGATCCAACCTCCAGCCCTGCCCTTCCTACCCCATGCTGCCCTACGATTTCTGGCCATACTAGCCAGTTGCTAGTTCCCTTCTGAGGCTGCTGTACCGGCACCTCCGTTCTTACCCCCATCTTGGCTTGCTCAGCCATTTCTAAATCAGATCTAGAGGAAGAAATGCACAGATTCAGTCACGCTGGCAGCAGAGAGAAAGGGGTGTCGATGACCAGCCTTTGGCATAGTCTGGGGCACCCCTTCTCCTGGCTCTCCGTGGCTGGACATGGTGTTAGCGCAGTCTTGCAGCAATCTGACCCCCTCTCTGAGGACAGGGTGATGAGGAAAGGTGGTCTCCATGCCAGGCGTCCCCTTCCAGCCCTTCTCGCTCGGGCTACCCCAGCTGCTGTCCCTAAATAGCCCGTTCTCCCACCCGCAGGGCCAAGCCCAGTGCTGCACTCTGTCCGGATCGTGGAGATCAACATGGCCATCCAGTCCCAGTACTGCGCAGCCGCCGACGCGTGCAGGTGAGCGAGGCAAGGCCGGCTGCCAGCACTTTGGTGGCAGCAGCACGGTGGGAAGCTCCAGGGGAAGCAGCAGATGGGCAGCTCCTGGAGCCTTGGGTCGTTTTCTGCCATCACCCCAAGGCAGCCCGTGCTGCTCCTTGGACAGAGGAGCTGGGGCTCCGAGTCCTTCCCTCAGAGCGCAGGAAGATTGCGTTTGATGATGAGCTTGTCCTGGGGAACCAGCCTGGGAAGCCCTCCCCCCTCTGAAGTCTCAGCCCAACAGAGACTTCGGGTCCTGTCCTGGCCCTCTCGCAGCCGCCTGAAATGCTGTGGTGAGATCTAATGCTCTCTCTGTGTCCCCAGGACTGGAAACTTCACCTACCGCATCCCTGTCAACCAGCTCACAGCAGTGAACACCAACCTCACCCTGGAGATGAAGTGAGTGGACAGGGCTCATCTCTTAGGTGTTTCGGTACCCCCGAAGTCAGCTGGATGCTGTGCCATGCGGCCATGGTGTCTCCTGCCTGAGCTGGGGAGGGGACAGCAGGGTCTCACTGTGTCTTGTTCTCCTCAGCTCCTCCTCCGCTGTGTCCATCTCCCTTTGTGGCCTTGTCTCCAGCGACCCCTGCCAGGATGCTGCGAGCACGAACAGCTCCACCGATGCCACAGACGCACAGGTAGGGAGGGAGGGAGGGTACGGCTCACAAAATCCACACGCGTTGTGTCATCCCAGCACACCACCGATCCCTCCAGAAGGGGCTACAGCAGGGCAGCACGGGAGCTGCTGGAGGGAATTCTTGCTCAAACGTAGCCGTGCTCCGCACTGGCTAACGTCAATGACCCTCAGGCATCCCTGCAACCCTCGCAGGGAGGTGTCTGTAAACCTGATACATAGAATCATAGACTCGTTTAAGTTGGAAGAGACGCTTGAGGTCACGGAGTCCGACCGTTAACCGAACACTGCCAAGTCCACCGCCACACCATGTCCCGCAGCACCACAGCTACAGGTCTTTTCAATACCTCCAGGGATGGTGACTCAACCGCTTCCCTGGGCAGCCTGGTCCAATGCTTGACAGCCCTTTCGGTGAAGAAATTTTTCCTAACATCTAATCTAAACCTCCCCTGGCACAACTTGAGGCCGTTTTGTCTTGCCTTATCGCTTGTTACGTGGTCACTCGTATGAAATCATCCCATCCGACCCCCTCTGCATGAGCACCAGGACTGTGGGGAAAAGACCAGGCTGTAAGCTGCCGTAACGCGTCCTAATGAAATCCCTTCGGGAGGATTTTGCAGGTCTGCACGCGCGGCGCCTGCATCAGGCCCCTCTTACCCTCGAGCGCCTCCTTGCCCCTCTCGGTCCAGCTCTGTCGCTGACCTTGGAGAGGTTGCTCCCCCACTCGGCAGTACAGGCTTGTGTCATGGAATCATAGAATCATGGAATCATTAAGGTTGGAAAAGACCTCTAAGATCATCGAGTCCAACCGTCGACCCAACACCCCCATGCCCACTAAACCATGTCCCTCAGCGCCTCATCTACACGTCTTTTAAATCCCTCCAGGGACGGTGACTCCACCACTTCCCTGGGCAGCCTGTTCCAATGTTTAACCACTCTTTCAGTAAAGACATTTTTCCTCACGTCCAATCTAAACCTCCCCTGGCGCAACTTGAGGCCATTTCCTCTCGTCCTATCGCTTGTTACTTGGGAGAAGAGACCGACCCCCACCTCGCTACAACCTCCTTTCAGGTGGTTGTAGAGAGCGATGAGGTCTCCCCTCAGCCTCCTTTTCTCCAGGCTAAACAACCCCAGCTCCCTCAGCCGCTCCTCATCAGACTTGTTCTCCAGACCCCTCACCAGCCTCGTTGCCCTTCTCTGGCCGCGCTCCAGCCCCTCGACGTCCTTCTTGTAGTGTCGTTCCTTGCCAGTCTGGCCTGGGAGAACGTCCCCTGATGCTCAGCCCCGATCTCATCCTAGCTATTCTGTTTTCTTCCCCAGGAAACAACGCACCGTTGGCCTCTCGTGATGATGTCTTTCCGGGAGTTTGCCTACCACTTCAGAGTAGCACAGCCTGTGAGTACCAGCAGCTGCTTTGTCTTTCCTCTTGTCCAGGGCCGAGCGGAAGGAGAGCAATGGGACCGCGGCAGGTTTAGCGGCCACGTTGCGCTGAGAGCCTTCCACAGCCCTCTCCATCGTGGCTGTTGCCTTCCGCAGTTACACGGGGTAGTGGGGGTATGAGTTTTCTCTGCCCCAGCGCATAATTCATGCACAATTTCCCTCTCGGAGCACGCGTCCTACCCCTGTCTGTAAGCTTTTTTTTTCTCGCTCTCTCACAGGGCCGAGCCAACTGCAGCACCGCTCCCGAGCAGATGGGACACCTTTTCACTGACTATTATTTTCAGTTTTACTGGCTCTGTGAGTGAGTCCTGGCAGCACCAGTGCCCTCTGGTTGGAGAGAGGAGGGGGACTGGTGACACTGGGGAAGACTCCTGTACACCCTCCTCCACTAGCCCCCAGCCCCACCTTACCCCCGTCTCCTGCCTGGGGCGTGGAGCTTGGTTTGGTTGTGGCTGGTGACGCAGGCACTGAAGCACAGCACACGCAGAACATAGGACCTAAGCCACAGAAACACAACCAGCCCTTGTGGTATCTCCTGGGCTCACCTCGCACCGACTCCCACCGTCCCACGCCGCCCCAAACGTCTCTCTCCTTCCCTTACGGGGGACGCTTGCGTCCTCCGTCACTTCTCCCTCCCCTTGCAACACTGGATTTGAAAGCATTACACTGGACTGAATGTGGATGGGTCTGCCGCGTCCCAGTCCTGTACTGGCCCAGCGGTCCCAGATGTGCCACGTCAGTTCTTCACAGCACTGGAATTGCTCAACACTGGAGCCCTTTCCAAGAGCAAAACGCTGGAGTTTGGCCTGGAAAGGAAGGCTGTGCCTGGACGTACTGGAAGTCGTACACTGGAGTTGCTGTTCCTTCTAGTTGGCCCAGGGCCATCCCCCGCAGCCCCACTCCACAGACCCCCCGGAGACCCCAGGACCCGCGAACGGACTGTCCTCTGTGGACAACAAGAGAAGGCGCAGCTTCAGCGTCAGCCCTGTCTGTCCCCCCTCCTCCCTGTACTCTTACCGTTCACCGTACCCAGGTCTGGATGGACAAACTCAAGATGCTGCTGAGGCTGTGCCCAGGCCAAACCACGTGTGGGGACACTTGCCATCAACCCACGGGAGAAAAATTACCGCGAGTCACCTGCATTCAGTGTCGTGGGACCCGGGTTTTTTTTTTTTCCGTTTGGCAGCAGCGTGTGGCCTCTCGCAGTGTGTGTGTGTGGAGCTGCCTGGTCGGCCCTCAAGTCAACGCAGCCACCTCTGCCCAGATGCGCAGAAGAGAGACCACTGGCAAAGCCCGGTGCGCCCTGCGGAGCAAGGCTGGGCTGCTGGGGGGCGCGTGATGTGGCTTCGCCGCACGCCCTGGCTCTCGGATCTCTGCCAGGCACTGAAGAGGCCGATCCTCTCCCACAAAGCGGGGAATGGCAGCGACTGTGGGCCCTTGCCGTCGCTGTTCTCGGAAAGCAGTTATGTTGAGTGTATTTTGGGTGTTCTACTGTTACAAGTTCTTAACTTGCTAAACTACTGAATTTTTTTTTATTTTTTTTTTTAAGCCGTATAAAAATGGGTCTCTTCATTCTGTCCCTATTGAGCTATGTGTGTCTCGCACAGGAAACCAAAGGGGGCCACTGCTAAGCTCCACGTTAAAGCTTGACTGCTACAGCGGTGCTGGGACACGTCAGACCGACCGACCAGCGCGTGTGCGCGTCCTCCCCCCCGTCCTCCTCCAGCGCCTCTTGCTAAAAAGGAGACACCTGCGTTCCTGGAGGCTGAGCCACCGCCAGGTTCTTACGTCTGAGCTGCGTTTCTCTGAGGAGACAGCAGCCGCCGCTGGGGAAGGGCGGTGAGGGGGAAACGCCACTCGCCAGGCCTTGAAGCACACTCTAACGCTGGCTTCGGAGAAGAGCACACCTCACCCCTTGCAGCCCCGTCACTGGACGCGGTCAACTCAAACCAAACTGGTTTTGGGAAACTGCATCGGGCTCTGGCTGCTGCGTTTTGTTGCCTTCAGCGGAGACAGATGCAGCAACCCCTTTGCCAGCTGCAGGCCCTGTTGTTACCAGCACCGAGGAGCGCGTGGCTGGCTCTGCTGCTCCGGAGAAACAAGCTGCAAAGACCTTTTTTTTAATCCAGCTAGAGAGATGGTTCCTGCGCACGTCTCGTGGGACCCTACACGCAGCCTTCCCTCCCCAGGCCGGGGGAGCGGTTTTATCTCCTGTCACCCATCTCAGAACTTCTGAGCTTGTCCCAGCAAAGCAGCCGCAGCCCTGCAATTCCTCGTGACATCGCTGGGAGTTGCCGTCTCTGCCGCCGAAGGACCTGGCTCTCCATTTGTAGGGCGGTTTCAGGGGCAGGTCTTCATTCCCACTGTACGCCTGCAGGCAGCAGACGCTTCACTACACACTGGTGAAGCTCTCCAGTTACTAAAACGCACTGAAGCCTGGGCAGGCAGGAACCAGTGGGTGCCCAGGTCACCGTATCCAGGGGAAGCAGCCAAGCAGGAGCGAAGTTAGGGGCCTTACCCGACTTTGGGGAGCTCAGCGGGAAAGCAAGAGGTCCCAAGGCTTGGGAGTACCTACGCGCAAGCAGGTCAGCTCCATGCTCAGCAGGATTCCCTGGTTCTCCCTGCAACTGGGAAGGAAACCCTCCGATGTAGCTCTCTGGAGAGGCGGCTCAGCGCTCTTCCCTCCACCTGCCCCGAGCTTTTTTGCTTGGCCTTAAACGGGGAAGTTACTTTCTTGGCAGCTTTTCTTCTCCACTTGGCAATCAGTGGCCCCAGTCTGGCACGTCCTTATTCAGGCGAGCGATGCCACGTGCTCTTCGACGTCTGCTCAGCTGAGAGGTAGCCTTCGCAGACCTGCTGTTTTCCCCCCGTAGTGTCGAGCTGGGCTAAATGCCCGTGCGTTCCTTTAGCCCCTGAAGAGGTCACGGGGCGGTGCTGTGAGGGCCAGAGCTGAAAGCACCGCCTGCAATCGCCACCACCAGTCCAGCCCCTCGCTGGTGGTCCCGGCTGAGGTCAGCCGAGACCCAGGAGTACATCTCGCCCCGCCGCGGGGAAAGCCTCTCCTGGAGGGGAGAAAGCAATCAATCGCTAGAAACGCGCTGGCAGCGGTGGCCCAAGAGGGGATTGGGGTCTCTCAGGTGTCCCTGCGACGCTTAGCCATGGGGTTTATGAGGGCCCCTGGCAAACCAAGTGCCTAAGGGCTACGGGAACATCTCTAGTGCCTTTTTCTGCTGACAGGACTGCACGAGGGAACGGCGGTTTCCCACACGTCCGGAAAATGCTGCGTGCCGCAAAAAACAGTGGCCAAATTAGCTTAAGAACGGAGATGAGCCAACACCTAAAGTGCGAAGGCCGGCCCTACCCCCGTACAGCTGTTTCACAGCAGAGCGGCACCGGGCTGACAGCAATCCCTGGGGTCGGAAGAGGAGAAGGGGCTCAGAACGCAGTTTTTAGCGTCTTACATTGCCATCGTATCTTTTTGTCTTAAAAGTTCATCACAAAGCGTACGCCAGTTCCACCAGCCGCTGCACAGCAAGGCAGAAACGAGCTCAAAAGGGTTTTTGTGATTACGAAAGGGTCACCGGATTGCTTCCAAGCCTGCGGAAACAGCTGTTCGCATAGACACAACCCCCCTCCAAAAAAAAGGTGTCTCTGCCCTAACTGAAGCTGCGTTCCCCATCCCCAATCAGTAACAAGAGAGTTAACAATCAGGCCTTTCCCTGCGTGAGACGGAGGGAGCTCTGAGCCGACGTCTCCAGCCCTACAGCTCGGGGGAAAAAACCCTCCCTTTCCGCTGGAAACTAGACGCTTCATCTCTCTAGACATTCTTGGCAGGAAGGAAGACAAGTGCGGAAACGAGGCCGCCTGCCAAAGTTTGGCTGTTTTCGGAGTTTGTTTCAAAAGCAAATTGACAAACATTCTGTCCTGCGGTTAGAGCTTAAAGCCTGTAAATAGAGACTGTGCCACCACCGCGAGAATTAAGGAAAGGAGGAAAAAAAAAAAAAGTAAAGCACTAATTTGTTTGGTTTAAATGTCGCTGTCACAGCTTTAATCACTGTATATTGCCAGCAAGTTTGTAGAGTTGCATTCTTAGCAGGTATTATTGATTATCGGTTTTTATTTGTAGGGAACGAGCGTGGTTTCCCTCCTTTCTTTCTGATTTATATTTATATTTTGCTGAATTTGAGCGCCGAGTCTCCGGATTCCCCACTTTTTTGTTTGGCTTATTTAGACTTTGTTTTATGCTGGAGGTAAATATGCCCATATAAATAAATATATAAATACTGCTTTGTATCCAAGGACGGCTCCTGGCGCGTTCCTCCCTTGCTATGAAATAACGGCCTTTCAGTGCGGTAGCTGTAAAACTGCCTCCCGCAAGACGGAGGAACCCCCGTGTCGTTAAGCAGCAGGAGTTTCCAGACGTGCCCACGCAGGGTCAGAACGGCCCCGGCCGGCGGCTGCTCGCTGCTACCCAGCGTGCTTTTGAGCAGGTAGGAAAAGGAGCTCTCGCCGCTCACGCC